AAAATCTACTCCAACAGATAATCCGATGAATAAAAACAGAATTATCATTATTTATATTTTATAGTTTTTCTTTTTTTTATTTCTTTCTTCTTTTTTATTTTTCTTATTTCTTTTTCTTCAATCTTTCTATCTTCCATCATTCCTATTTCTTTTATTTAATTCTTCTCTTCATTATTCTATCTTCTTTTTTCTTTTTTTTTTCTTTAAATGATTCAAAGTTCAATTCATGATATAATTACTTCATTTTAGAATATTATTTTTCTCATTGAATTGTTCAAAAGTAACACAAAACCAAAACTCTTATTTTGAAAAAGTTTATTCAAATGACTCTAAATTTTGTAGATTCTATTCTTCTTAAATATTTCTTTTTATGTCTTTTTATTTCTTTTTCTCTTTTATCTTCTTTTATTCTTATTTATCTCGTTATTGATTCTTTTATTCTCTTTAACTCTCTCAATCTTTTTTTCTTTTCTCTATCCTTCTTTAATAATTTCAATTACTTATAATCTTTCTTCTTTTGACATTCTCTTCTTATTACTTTCATTGATTTACATTTTCTTTATTCCTATTTTTCTCATTATTTAATCAGTTTCACTCTTTTAATCCACAATGAAACATAACACTATTTTATTTTAAATTGAATCTTTTTCTTTACTTTAACCTGTGATGGTTAGCATATTGAAATGAGTTAGGTTTTCATTTGTATGTTGAATATATTTCTTGTTTCAAGTATATTATAAAGAAAAGTACATTCCAGAGAAATTGCTGCAAACCAAATACTTTTCTGTCAGACAGGATATATTTTAAAATATTCAAAGAAAATACATTGAAATTAAGATACTCTGTAGTTATTTTTTTTTTGAAAAAAGTACCAATAAAACATAAATATAGAATAGAAGAACCATTGTATAATTCATAGTGTTTAATTAATGATATTAGTAAATTATTTAAGAGTTTAAAAGAACATTTTATTCAAAGAGCCAAGTTCTTTCTAACTCTTTCAAAGTTTCAAGTAAGAAATGAAATATTTTTAAAGATATAACCAAGTACTTATTAAAAATTAATCTAATTAATTACATAGACAAATCAAAAATATAAGTAGTAAAATTTTTATAATTCTTATAACTAGTATAAATATATTATGTTACTTGTTAATAAAATATACTCAAAAATAATTTTAGAGCTATGAATAATTTCTTTTTATTAGTGTAATAGTATTTAAAAGAAAATCATCTGGTAATAAATAAAAGTAGAAATTGATAATAAGAAAATGATATGTTGTTATTTATTTATTAAACTAATAGAAAAAGGTTTTTTAAGTTTAGTCATTTTATCATTGACTTATTTAAATTCTAATTCTATTATATGTTTGTTAACAAAGTTCAAAAAAAAAATCAACCATATTATGAATATTTCATTAAAATTTTGCTCGTATACTACTCAGTTTTTAACAAAACAACTAATATAATTCAATACATTCAATATCTTATGTCTTTAATTTTTTTATATTATTTTATTAAAATAGCTACCAAATGTTTGTTCATACAAAGAATTAAATATCCTTTTTGGTTTGTATTTTAAAAATATAGAATTGTTTCAATTAAATGTAATTTATTACAAAGAATATCTTTTGTATTAATCGTTCAACAAACAAAATTGTTTTAACTCTTATCAACTCTATATTCTGAACAATTCTTTTCTTCAAAAAGGTCAAAACTAGAATCTAAAACACTAACAATTCTCTTCGATAACTTTAATAAACATAATATCTAATAGTTAAGTTGTGAATATCTTCTAATAACGATCTGTTAGATAAAAGAAAATATTAGGAACAAAGTATTTCTATTAATATGAATAGTAAGGTTAAAAAGTATTTTAAAATAAATAAAAATTTACATCAAATAAAATAATTCATAAAAAATATTAATTATGGCTTATTGACAAAAAAGTTACATTGTATTTCAAAAGACTATTTTATAATAAGAATTAAAAAGTTCATATATAACCATAAAAAAATTTTTTATTTCAAAGAACCAAACATTTAATTAAAAAAATAAGATAATAAATATATGAACAATAGTTTATCAACCAAAAGAAAGATAAAGAACAAAGTTTTCAAAGTCTTAGATTACAAATATAAGTTAATATCTAATTATAATAAATTATTTTTTATTTACAAATGTTCTTCTTTTTTTACATTTCTAGTTTAATGATATTAAATAACACTCTCAAACTTTTATATAACTCATGATATTTTCTCCGTATTAGATAATTAGTTTGTGCATTGGGTTATCATAATTTCTATGACTTTTGTTAGTATCAGATGAATTAACAAAGACAAGATCAATAAAGTTTATTCTATACTTTATAAGTTGAGCAAATCCACTAAAAGTTATATTAAAAGTAAGTTTTATTTTAACAATTATGAATCAAAAGCAGTGTAGAAGATTAGCTCACATTAAAAACATTACTAATAAGAGAAAGAAATATTACTGAATTACCAAATAGAAGTCTTAAAAGATTCTATAACTAAAACCAAAAAAGAGCCTTTTAGTAATTGTTATTCTCAAAGCAAGTTCTTCTTTTCATTAATGGTATTAATGATGACAAGCTAACTGTACTATAAAAATTAAAAAGGAAGAACAGAACTAAAGAAATAGCTTAGAAAAAGATGATAATCAATTTTATGGTCTTGAAATGAAGTAATTCATGATTATTCTGGACTCCATTTTAATACAACAACTTTAAATACTGAGAAAGTGTCTGGAAAATGATTTCCAGAGAAAATATTAACTGCATTCTCCATCTCAATATTGTAGTACATTGAGAATTTTCCTGAAACAAAAGAAGAATCTTCAATACCAAGATAATAACCACAATGAATACCAGTAATCCATTTATCATTATCACAAGAATATACTTTAGTTGAATAAAATGGATCTTTTCTAACAACTTTAATTGGTTTTTTAATTAATGGACTCTTGAGAATAAAACAAAAGAATCCATCGTCTTTAGTCATATAAAACCCATACCCTTTTTCTTTTGAGTCGGGAATTTCAATAGAATTGTAACTACCAAAAATACATCCATCAGTTGTTTGAACAATAGTCATTGTATGAATTTGACCACATGTCTTATAATTAAATGCACGAGCAGTAAGTCCATCTTCATCACTATCATAAAGTGTTTCATGATTTTTCATTCCACACCATTCAGATAATTGATTAATATATTCATCATAGAAATTTTTACTTAGAACAACATCAGCTGGTTCTAATTCAATTTTTTTTTCTAAAATTCCAGTACTTTTAATTTGGTCAATGATCGTATGTAATTGTTTATACTCATTTTCTAATCTAACAACTCTTGAAGACAACAACGCAACAGCTTTATTACTTTCATCTAATTCTTTTTTTGTTTGATTTAATTCTTCTTCAAGGATAATAGTTTTTTGTATTTGTTCTTCAATTTGACTCTTATCTTTCTTTTCTTTTTTGCTTTTTCGGTTGAACATAATCTTTTAGTAAGTTTCAAGTTTTTCTTCTTTTTTTTTGATGTTTATTTTTAGCATTCTTTATTTTTAGTTATTTTATGACTGATTATCGTATTATATTTATTATGTCTTTATTCAAATGATTTTCTATTTGTAGGTATTTGTTTGTCTTTGGCTGCTATTTTGTTTATGAAATTTTATTAATATATTCAGACGTTATTGAACAACAAAAACAATATTTGAAACTAAAAAATACTTTAATTATCGTTTTATATAACGCAATTTTTATTCTTTTTAGTTATTTCATCGAATTTATTTTTCCTTCAAATGAAATTAATTTCAGGAGGGAAAAAAAACCAAAAGAAGTATTGCGTTTCAATAGACTAAAAGGAATAAAAAATATTTCTCATTTTTCTATTTTGTTTGAAGAACAAATTCTTTTTTCTTACATTCATACTCAAATTATAATAAACCTTTCTTTTAACCAAAAACAATAGAACCTTACAAATAATGTTGTAGTATGGCTCTTTCTAATTCTCTCTTTAAAGGTGATAAATCTTTCATAAACAAATGTTCATGGATTAATAGGATGAGTAATAGAAGAAACTATTCTTCTTTTCATCAATTCTTTTAGTGATTTCTTTGAAGTGTTCATTTACTTTTTGGCACTCAACATATTCATTTGTAAAATAAAAGGTAGTTTTGGTCAATGATTTTAACAATAAAATATATTAAAAACATCTTTGGACTGGTTCAATGAACTAATTTGAATATATTTTAAATTCATCTACACATTATGATAAAAGAAGGGTTAATCTCTTCGCTATGGATTTCAATTGAGTGTGTTACAATTGACCCATAGTAACAATGTGTTATACTTTATTTAATTCAAAAAAAAAGAATTAAATATATCAGTAACTTTCATTAGTCAAAAGTCATTAATATCATTCTTTTAGCTCTTGTATTAACTTAACACTGATTTTATATATGTATGATAAATAATCAAATGAAATTTTAAGGTTTTATTATTTCATATATTTCTTTAAATAAACACAGAATGTATCAAGACATTCTTATATTCTATTAACATAACTTCTTTCTATTTCTAATAATTCCATAATAATGTGCTTTCATTTTGCTTTTTTGACTTAATTCTACAATCATTTTTTCTCATAGTATTTCTTTTTGTTTGAAGTTTGTTCGTTTCTTTTTTATTTACTCTCTTCTTAAATATGTGTTGTTTTTCTTCTTTCTTAGCTCCTTCAAATTGGAGTTTTTTCTTTGAATAATACTATTTTTAACAAGACTTTTTATGAAACTTTTATTTAAATTATCTTTAGTCTTACCCATTCAAGTCTATTAATTTTAATAAATAAATAAAAACCAGCAAGTGAGACTTTTGAATCATATTCTTGTTTTAATTTAAAGTCAGTAATTATTCTAATTTGTAATTACTGTCTTGAACAAAATCAACAACAATATGAAGACTTTTAGTGTCATTTTTTAGTTAGTTGATGTAATATATTCATTATAGCAGAAGTCGTTATGTTTTATAAGAAATAAATTAATTATTAACCAAACCAATAAACTTAGGTTCTTTTGATTTTATTATTTTTAGTTATTGCTCAGGTTCTAAAGAATCGAAACTCAAATACTATTTCTTCATTAAAAGTTAAATTAAATAATGTAGCAAAAAAAAAAAATGATTCTATTAGTTTATTTTGATACTTCTTTTGAAGTGTTTTAACATTGAATTTAATATATTACCAAAATCATGTTTTTTTTTAATTTAAAAAAAGACTATTTAATTGCTGTACATTCTAGAATAATCATAATTGAATAAAGAATTTATAAGAAAGGAGTAACAAATGGATAATTAATCAATTCAACCAAACATAAAAATATATCATTTCAATAATTTGTTGTATTAAGCTAGCTGATGCCATACCAAACAGAATTTTTAATATTTTTTTTCTTGACCCACATGAAACTATTTAAATAATACTTATTCAAGAATAAAACTAACTATTCGTAAAACATTTAATATATTTCTCTTTTAAAAGAACATTCAAATAATAAAATAATTAATAAATTAAAGTAATAAACCAATTAGTATATTCTTTTTCACTATTTTAATTAATAAAATCCTTTTTTTTCGATACTTTTCTGTTTAATAAATAAAATTTTATTCTTCTTAACTTTAGACTATAATAAATTGGTGAAAATGACTATTATATTAATGATATTTATTATTTCTAATATTCATAATGAAATATTAATGATTTGATACAATTATTTAATTCTTCTACTTCATCAAATTGTTCAGTTAAAATAAGGAATAAATATTTATAAAAATCTTTGATTGTTCTATCACTATTTCTTTGTGACAATGTTAGACTTATAAATATCAGAATTATTTTATTATTTTTAATTGAATTTTTATTACATTTTAGTCACTTAAACATTAATTCTGTATCTTACATTTCACATACTACAATTAATACTTCTTTAATATGTCTTCCTTTAATTAATACTTCACTTAAAAATTCTGGTAATACTTTCATTAAAAATTATTAAAATGATTTTCTAATTAATGTCTCTCCTCTATCTATTTCAACTGTTCTTTTTTATTTTTTTTTCTTCATTCAAAAGCATAGAAAATAATCACTTTAAAATGTACTTCTCTTTCTCATTCACTTCATGAAATATATATCTTTCTTCCATCATTTATATTTATCTTTTTTTTCAAATTTCTATTCTCCTTTTTTTTTCCTTCCTTTATTATTTTAAATTTACTTTTCTTGTTTTATACTCTATTATTCTTCAACAAATATCCCCATTTATCTCATTTCTTTTATCAAAACTATTTCTTCTTTTCCATTATTATTTCTTTAACTTTTGTTCTTTTCACTATTATATTATTTGTAGTAATTTCTTTTCCTCCTTTTTCCTATACTCACTTCTTTAAAAATCAAAAAAAAACAAACATTAACGGAATTTCTTTTTTAATGAATAAATTCAATGAATGTACTTACTACATCTTAAATATATTAGTCATCTTTTTCACTTTTCTGTTTTCTTTAATTTGAGTTTCATAAATTCAGGAATTTCTTCTTGTGACTTCTTTTCTGGTATGTTTTCTTTCTTTACTGTAGTCTTTTTTAATTTAAATGTTGCAGGATTAAATCCTCCAAATAGTGGTTGTCCTCCTGGTACTCCAGGACGGCTTGTGTTTTCAGAAATACTTCTTGGTGGAGGATTTGATTCAGAATTTTGAATACTACTTTCCTTTTCTTCCTTTGGGTAGTTAGTCTTTCTCAATGAAACTTTCGCAGGATTAAATCCACCAAACAAAGATACTCCTCCAACAGGCACTTTCTTTGGTGGGACCATTTCTCCTGAAGGAGAATCTTGACTTCTAACTTTATTGAGTGATTGGTCTGTCTCACACGATAATGTCTTACGATAAGCAAATCCTTCTTTAGTTATTTGTTTTCTTTTTCCTGGTTTAGACTTAATCTTTTGAACTGGTATTAGTTGAACTTCTCCATCAATTTTATTGAAGAATTCATTTATTTCTTTTTGCTCATAGGTAAGACGTCCTTTTTCAGAAGGACGTTCTGATAAATTATTAACTTTTGATTCTTTTTTATCTTCACTAGAAAGTGTTAAAGAGTCTGTTGGTTGGATTTCCTTTTCTTTAGTTATTAATTCATTGTTTTGAATGTCACGTACATTTGGTTCTTCATCAACTTGTTGTTTTGGTTCTTCATCAACTTGTTGTTTTGGTTCTTCATCAACTTGTTGTTTTGGTTCTTCATCAACTTGTTGTTTTGGTTCTTCATCAACTTGTTGTTTTGGTTCTTCATCAACTTGTTGTTTTGGTTCTTCATCAACTTGTTGTTTTGGTTCTTCATCAACTTGTTGTTTTGGTTCTTCATCAACTTGTTGTTTTGGTTCTTCATCAACTTGTTGTTTTGGTTCTTCATCAACTTGTTGTTTTGGTTCTTCATCAACTTGTTGTTTTGGTTCTTCATCAACTTGTTGTTTTGGTTCTTCGAGAATAACTTGGTTAGTAGCATTTTCTTCTTTATTTTCTTCACTTGCACTTATTACTTCTTTATCTGTTACCTCTGTAGACTCCTCTTCAGAACTTGAAGGAGTTTCTGAAGTAACTTCTTTTATAATAAATTTAATTTTTGTTTCTTCTTGTTTTTGTTGTTCTTCATTTGTTAACTCATTATCATTTTCTTCTTTAATTTTACTTTTTATAGTTTCAATTACTTCATTTTCAATAACATTAGCATATTCATGTTGAACTTCCATCCCCTCATCAGAGCTACTGTTACTTTGAGTTGTAACTTTCTCTGGTATTGATGAATTTGATAAATCTAGTTCTGCAGCATTTTCAGTTTCGTTTTTCTTTTGACATGCTTCTATTTTACTCGTTACTAAATCTTGAATCGAAGCAATTGTCTGTTCATCTAAATTTGGTGGTTGTATTTCCTTTTCATCTCCATTTGAAGAAATTATTGACTTTTCATCTTTCTTTCCTTCTGATAAGGAAGGAGATGATTCTAATACTGGTTGATTAACCTCCTCTTTGGGTTCATTTTGAATTTGTTCAACAAGCTCGTTAACAACTCCAACAACAACTGTTCCTATCATTTCTTCATCCATAGAATCAGAAGAGCTATATTCTTTAATTGTGGGTGATGCACCTTTCTGGTCATCAATATTAACATAAACTTCTTTGTCTCTTTCTTCAACTGAACATAAAGAGGATTTAGCTGACGATGATGAAATTTTATTCTCATTTTTAATAGAAAATTCCATACCATTAACCACTATATTTTCTTGATTTGATTCATTAATGTTAGTAATTGGTTCTTCCTTTTGGTCATTTGACAAAGATGATCCTGAAGGAGTTTTCTTATTTTCTCCAACACAAACCATAACATCTTTATAATCTCCACCATGTGAAGATTCACTAAACTCACTTGAATTAGTATGCTTAACGTCATCACTTATTATTAAAACATTACCTTTAATAATATGACCTTCTTCAGAATGAGGCTTAGAGGTTTTTTCCTGAAGGTCTTTCTCAACACTGTTATTTGTATCAATTTCATTATTTGAATAATCAATTGGTGATTGTGAATGAATTGATGCTTCTTTAGGTTCTTCTCCATTATTTGGTAATACTGTTTCTTTATCATGAACCTCTTTTTCTTCATCACTCAAGCTATCATCCTCTTTTTCTTCATCACTCAAGCTATCATCCTCTTTTATTGTAGGTGATGTCTCTTTAACTTCTTCAGATTGTGTAACTACTTCTTGACTAATACTTTCCTTTAATTTTTGCTCAATTTGTTCAGAAACTTCTAAAGAGGGAGTTGTTGTTGATTTATCCTTTACTTCTTTATTTTGAGACACTTCAGCTTTAATCATTTCTTCTTTTTTTTCTTCTTGAGAATCAAATTTTTCACAAGATACTTCTTCATCTTGTTTATCTTCTTCACCAGAGTTATTTGAAGAATTAGACTTTTTTAAGACTTTAGCAATCTCAACAGACTCATTCTTATCTTTACCTTCACTTAAATTTAATGAAGGAATTTGTAAATTTGACTTTTCTTCTTCTGTTTTTGAAGATTCAATCTCCATAGAAATCTCTTTTTCTTCATTTTTGGGTAAAACATCCACAAAATGAATTTCATCTCTTTTATCATTTTTGTTATCAGTTGAAGAGGATGATTTTGACTTTTGTAATTCATCTTGTTCATTACATAATGAAGTTGAGAGTTTTTTTTCTCCATTTGTAAGAGTAGAACTAGACTCATTAACATTGTCTTTACTAACTTCAGGAAGTGATTGTTTAGAATCATCAAGACTTTTAACTGATTCATCTTCAATAGACGTAGTATTTTTTTCAATTTCTTTTTGTTCTATTTCAAAACTAGATTGTTTAGTGTCAAATCCACCAGCTAATTGTTTAGTAAGAATAGCAATTTTTCCTTGTTGTTTTGCTGGTTTAAATGTTTTTTGAGGTGTTTTAGAAGCTGTTATTTCCTCACTACTTGAAGAAGATTTAGAGCTTTTCTTTCTTTGAATTTTTAGCGTTGACTGTTTAACAACAACTCGGTTTGGATGGTTCCGTGTTTGTGACTTTACCTTTTGTTCTCTTTCTAATTCTTCTTGTTTTTTTGCTTCTAATTGTTCATATTGTCCAATAAGTTGAGCAATTTTACTTGACACCTTTTTAGGTGAACTCATTTTAATTTGATTAATCAGTTTTTTTTTCTGTAGTATGTGTTAAATGAAAATAGTTTAAATTTCATTCTTACTCAAACTAAACACTTCCTCACAGCTTCATTTATTTTAGTTTTTGGACAATAATCTTCTTCGATCTTATAATTTCTTATATTTCCTTTTATTTTTCGGGATTTCTTCTCAATAATTAATTTAAAAATCCTATCTAATTTGTTCTAAAAAAAAACCGTCATTAAAAAAAAAAAAGCAATAAAAATGTGTTGTAAAGTAATTAGAAAGTCTTGAAAGATAATTTTGTTTGGTGTTTAATAATAAGAGCAAGTATGACAATAACAACAGTTATAAGGCTAATAAAGAATCTAATAAGAATTAAAGCAATAGTATACCTAAAAAGTGTTTGGGTTATTTCATCTAAATAAGGTAATTGTTTAAGAGTTAATTGTGAAGCTTTGTGTTTTAGATAAGGAGGTATCTGAATAGGGTCTTGCATTGGTAAAAAAATTTCTAATTTAGAAGGCATATCATTATGATACATCATCAAAGCATTTGAGATATAAATTTTAATCTTTTGTAAATCCCAAGTTTTAGTTGGTAAAGATTGAACTGCTTGCATTACTTCAATAATGTCAGAGTCTTTCATTATATGTTCTTCATTTTCAATAAACAATCCAGCAACGAAATAAAAATGACTATAAAACATTTCAGTAGATAACATTGCATCAAAAATATAATACATTTGTGGAAAGTTAAAATTTCTAGTGAAAGGACAAATGAATGATCTGGTAGAAGTGAGATATAATTCTGGATATTCCAAAATAAATTGGTTTAAGGTTGGGTCATATTTTTGAACTATATTCTCAAGGACTTTAACTGCATTAAAAATTCGTCCAAAATCAGAAACAAGAAGATCTCTATATTTATCTAATGTTGCACAAAGTGAATAATAACAATCAGTTTCTACTTGTAATATCCATTTAGGAGTAAAAGAAGATAAATTAGTTATTTCAATTGCATCTTTAAATGAGATATGTTCGAAGAGATAAGTAATAAAAAATAATGAAACCCAATCTAATAATCCTTGAAAAAATAAGATATCTGCATGTTCAAAAGACCAAACTACTGCTATTCTAGCAATAACATCACCAAATTCTTTACATTTAAACAATTTAAATGGTTTAAGAAATGTCCTAGGAATATCTTTTTTAATTTGTTCTTTTACACTTTTCCATGCTTTAGGATAATTTTTTTGTGTTATATGAAAATGGTATTGAACTAACCTACAATATTCTCTTCTTTTTACCTTTTGTTTAGAACTATGTAAAGATACATTTTCTGGTAAATATCCACATAACACTTTCCATACAAATGGTCTTTGTTTTTCAGGAATTCCATTTGCTGCTCTTTGTTTAAGTTCATTAATTTCAATTAAAGGAGTTTCTGCGATATATTGTTCAAGACTTTTTCCTGTTTTACTCATAAGAAGAATAAACAAATAATGTTTTTAGAGTAATTTAAAATCAGTACAAAACATCTTTTTTATTTTAATAAAAATTTATTATTTCTCCATTACCTTTTACTATTTTAATTAAGTAAAATTATAATAAATTATTAAATTAATAAAAAACAAAAAAAAAACTATTTACTCAATAATTATTTCAATAATTAATATGTCATCAATATTCCCTCTTTCATAAACATTGTAATAAAAACAATAATATTTGGGTTTACTTCTTTTTATTCTAATAGGAATAATAATAGGTTCATTAGGAAAACTAATAGAAGTATTAGAAGTATTTTTAAGAAAATCTTTACGAATTCCAAGGATATAAGGGTAATATTTTCCTTTAAATGATTTAGAAATTGGTAATGTTTTTGTGATTACTAATACTCCTCTTTTTTCTAATAATGTTTTTTCTACATTAAAAATATAATCATCAGTAATAATATCTTTATAACTAAAAACATTACTTTTTACTTTTATAACATCTTTCTCTTTATATGCACATTTTGTCATTATATTATAACTACGTTCTACTGATGAATGATTTTGATTTAAGTCTTTAACAAAGTAATACTTTTTTAAATGTTCATTTTTATCTTCTTCTTTTATTTGTCCATTAAATTCAAAACAAATTAATCCATTATATTCTGCCATAAATTGATATTTTGATGGATCAATAATAATTTTCTTTTCTTCAGATAAAATTGTTTCTTTGGGTGGTTGTTTTTTTTCTTTGTTTACTTCTTGTTGGATAATTGGTTTCTTTTCTTCTTTTTTTATTTCATTTGATTTATCTTTCTGTTTGAAATCTTCTTCTTGTGATTGAACAGTTTCTTTTATCCCTTCTTCATTTGGTGTTTCAATTTTGGATTGTTTAAAAAAGTCATTAATTTCTTGAAACAGTTTATCTGTATCTTTTTTAATAGTAGAGACATCAGTAGGATTTTCTTTTTTTCTTATCTCTTTTTTAATAGAAGTATCTTGAGATTCTATTTGAGGTTTTTTTGGACTTTTTATAGAAGAATGAGATTCATCTTTCTCATTTGATATAGTACCTTTATTATGTTCTTCTTCTTCATTATAATTATCATTACTAAAAGAATTCACTGGAAGTGGTGGAGACACGCATGGAGTATCAGTGTCATCTAAATTAATATTAAGGTCATGTAGAGATTGAGTTTGGTTGTGAATAGACAATTCATTCTTTTCATTTGTATTATCTGGAAGAACTGATTCATCTAAAACTGACATGAAGAAAACAGTTGCCATTGAATCTTTTAAAGTAGTAAGAAAATCAAATACAGAGCGGATTAATAGTAAATTGAATTCGTTCAGATATTTTTTATCACATGAAGTTGATTGAAGAGCGTTAATATATTGTTTTGTGAATACTTTTAGGCTATTAAATAATGAGAGAGAATTAATTGATTCAATTCCATCAAAGATTATATTAATATCGAATAGTTGTTGTTCTTGTTGACTAAGAATAATAGGTAGAGAAAAAGCGAATTGAGAAATAAATTGGAAATATTTCATTTGGATTTGAGAATTTACCAATTTTATTTGAGTCAAAATATCAGCAAACATTAGTAGTGGCATTTTAATGTTATGAATAAAATCTAATCCACCTTTTCTCAACAAATTGATAAATTCAATCCTTTTGTTTTCAAGTTCAGTTAAGTTCATTAAAGAGAGAATTTTAATTGATTAAAGATTTTATTTTAAAAGAAAAAAAAAAAAAAAAAGAAAAACAAAAACAAAAAGAGAACTTCAAATAAAAAACATAATTAAGAAATTAAGTTGAAATGGCATGTAAAAGCAGTAAAATATCAAAATATATTAATTATACAATAAAAGTTACTACCATTGAAGGAAGAAATTTTGTTGGTAAATTTTTAGCATTTGATAAATATATGAATATGATTTTATCTGAAACTATTGAAAAAAGAACAGTTATTAATAAAAAAACACGTGAAGAAAAAGAGATTGAAAGGTCTTTAGGAATGATGTTATTACGAGGTGATTGTATTCAAGGATATACTGTTTTATCACCACCACCTGTTTGTTAAATATTATTGTTGAAATAATAATAATAAAATTATATATATTTCTTATTCATTTTAGAAAAGAAAACAACAAACTTTTGTTCCAAACGTTGTAAATACTTCAGTTATTACTGCTGGTCCACAAGCAAATCCATGTTTGTTTTATTTTATTTTTATTATATTTAATACTAATATATTCATTGATAGCTTTAGTTGCACCAACTAGAGGTGTTGGAATTACTCAACCATTGATGGGTGGTATTCCTATTCCTTCATTATATCCTCAAATGGGAGTTGTTCCACCCGGACAAATTCCTGTTCCTGGAGTTATTCCTGGTGTTCCACCAATGATTCCAGGAGCAATTCCACCTGGAATTCCAATGTATCCACCAATGGGAATGATACCACCAATAGGTCCTCCACCCCAAATGAATCCAATAATCCCACAACCTCAACCAAATGGAACAAATCCAACAGACTCAGCTGATAATTGATTGACTTTTTTTTTATTAAAGAAGAAAAATTAAATTTATATTCAAAAAAAAAATTATTTTAATTCATTTTCAATTTCCTTTAACTTATCTTGGTCTTCTAATCTAATAGATAAAATACTTGATTGGATTTCTTTTATTCTTGATAGTTCCATACTTTTTTTCTTTTTTGCAACAGCTAGTAATAATTTAGTTTTTCTTTTGCATAAGTCATAAACTAAATCACTATTTTTTTCATAATACTCTTCAAAGCTTTTAAATGAAAGTCCTTTTTCTTCATCAGGTTTTATAGTGTCTTCTCTCTCAACATTTAACTTTTTGAGATCATGAGATTTACTTAAAGAAAAGGTCACATCATATTTTTGAGAAGTAAAACTTTTGTTTTCTTCAGATTTAATAATATATCGTTGTTCAATTGAACCATTTGGATTATAATATGATGATGATATAGCTGTATCTCCTGTATCCATTCTCAATACAAATTCTTTATCTGATTTTGATAAACAATCAGTAATTGTATTTGAAGAGTTATCAATAAATTGAATTTTCCTTGAAGGATCAATAAGTTGATTTGCTAATACACCTGCACCATATGCTGAAGAAAAAGAAGGGTCAAGAGATGTTGATATATTACTAACACTAGAAATTGCATCTTTAACACAACATAATAACCATCCTTTTCCTACAACCTCAATAGATGATAAAGAACAATCTTTTATTTGAGAAGGATTAAAGTACTGACTATGAGGATAGTTTTGAAAACGGGAAATAGAGTCTTTAATAAATTGAGATAATTCTTCACATTCTTTTTGAGTAAATGAAGCAAATTCATCTTTTGTAGCAGTAATTCTAATATCTTCATTATTTTTACAATCAAGAATAATATCCATTGAAGCTAATTTTCTTTCAGAGAAAGAAGAACGTAAACTTGAAACTTTTTCTTTTAAACAAGAAGAAGAAATTTGATTTTCAGAAACACCTTGTTCATTTGCTTTAAAGATAATATATTCTCTTAATTTTTGAGTAAAACGATAACCACCAATATTTGTACATTGTTTTGAAAGAACTTCTGCTGTATTTAAATAAGAATTAAAGATAACAATACTTGTATGATAATATCCTACGTCTAGAATTGCTCGTGTACATACTGAATTATCATAATGACTGTTAATATAACTAACAATAGAACCAGCATAACAAGGGATTAAATAACAAATAATACCAAGGTTTTTAGCAGCACAAATTAAGTCAGTTTTAAATTTATCTCCATGATAATTTTTCATAGAAATAAAAGCAATTTCACAATTTGTTTGTTTTTGAATAAAATCAAGAAAAATAGAAAACAAAGCTTGACGTGAAATTTTTCCATATTCTTTAAAATCTACTTGTTCATTATCAAATAAAGGATTTATAACAGCATTTTTACATTCATTAAATTTATCCATATCATATGAATAAGATAAATTAACAAAATTATAAATTGTATCTGAATTAGTCTACTGATTATTACATTATATTAATTAATTATAATTTAACAAACAGTTGAACTAAAAAGTGTATAAAGTTTACCTTTACTTAATGTTATTGCACTTGGAGGTTGATCAGTTGCTGTTACTCCAAAATACATATTCATTATATTTTCTGTATTTTTATTATTAAATGAAACTTTAATTAATTGGTCTCCCCAATCAATTCCAACTATTTTTTCTGGTTTTCTTGCAGTAGTCATTGTATTAAACATTTTAATGATGTTTATTAAGTTCTATAAATACTCTATTTCGATTTTTATTTTTTTTATTTTTTTGATTTGAAATTATTTTTCCCTTTTTATATGACTAAATATAGTCTAATAAACAAAATTAATTATTCTCATTTGATTATGAAAAATTAAAATTAATTTTATTAATATTTATTTAACTCATTTTTATTTTCTTTAGAAAACTTAACAAACATCATTTCTGAATTATCTTCTTCAAAAAAGTTTGATAAAGAATAATCTTTTAGTAAAAGACTTTATAAAAATTCCTTCTTTAGTTGAAATACAATTATACTATTTAGTTTATTAATAAAATAAATTTTGTAACTATTCTATTCAAAAAGTGAATAATTCATTATTTAAATGTCATTGAGAGAAAAAAAAAAAGAAAAAGATTATTTAAACACTGAACTTTATAATAATTTTTTTAATATATTTATTAACTTACAAAACAATTTCTTTAAAAACAATATACAAACAATAAAAACTTTAAATTTAAACAAAATGCTTTATAACTACTTAAAATTTTATAACAATTTAAATGGTTATTATAGAAAAATAATGAAATAGAATTATGTTTGATATTTAATTTTTTATTAAAATTCACTTACTCTTCTAATAACACAGTTTTGTTATTTTTTGATTCATTCGTTCAATTTTTATAAATTTTGTTATACTTTTTAATAAATTATGTTATATAAAACAATATGAATTTTTGTTTAAATTAAAGAAAAGAGCAAGAAATGAGAGGATTGGATCTTTTGTGTCTCTTTAAAACTTGAAAAGTAACTGTTTATTACATGTCAATATTTGATATTCAAGCTGCTCAAGATGCATGGATCTTTCAAAATATTACAAAAACATTTCAAGAAGACCCATTAATTAAAGAACAGTGGTGGTATCCATTATGCATGTCTTTAAGAATAGAAGAGTTTAGACCATTACAAGAATGGTTTGAAAAGACAGACAAGGATAAGTCAGGGACACTTGAGTTGAATGAGCTTAAATCAGCTAAATTTCCTGGAGGATTAAGACTTGATGAAGATACTTGTAGAAAATTAATGAAAATATTTGACATGGACTTATCTGGAAATATTGGATTTTATGAATATTTGGCATTAATGAAATTTGTTGATTTAGTAGATAAAACATTTACACACTTTGATGCTGACCATAGTGGTACAATGGATTTAAATGAAATGATGGCTGCACTTCCTCAATTAGGATTTGATATTACTAGAAAGAATTGTGAAGCATTAATTAGAGCCAATGCACGTGGACTATTTTCTAAAAAGATCAAACGAAGTCAGTTTGTGGGGTGTGTAAGTTTCCTTGGGTTAACACGTTCTATTTATCAAAAAGCTATGAATGTGAAGAATGAAAATTTTAAAAGAGAAGATTTCTCTCGATTTATGAATTTGGTTCTTCTAATCTGTGATGAACTTTAATTTAACTTGATTTTTTAATTTTGTTTTGTATATTTCTTTTTATTCTTTTCTATTTAGAAGAAAACTTCTAAATAGAATTAGTCTCAAATATCTAAAGAATAATTGAAAGTATTTCTATTTAATACTTAATTAATTGCTTTATTATTTTAATTTTGTTTATTTGTTATTTTATGACTTTCTTTAATATAAGAAGAAAAAGAAATATCAGACGAAGGTAAGTTGTCATCAAAACTCAGAGATTGTTCAACACATGTCATCACTTAATTCTATCAAGTCTTTTTCTTATTTATGAAACATAATTTAAGATATTAATTTTAATTATTATGGTTTTATAAATTTATAAATAGAATCTATTTATAAAATTATAATGAAATTATATTTTAATTATTTATTTATTTAAAACAATCTTATTTAATTAATGTTTATGAAGGTTTGGCAATGCAATACAAATTTCATGGTATTGTTTTACTAATAAATTAGCCTTTGTGTATTGTCATTAATTTTCATATTGAAAATGGTTTAATAATATTATAATATTGAAGAATAATTTTTAAGTAATATTATTACCATCCTTAAACCTGACATTTATTTAATCTGCGTCTTTCAGTACTTAACATCTTAGAAGTGTTATTTTTATTCAATTAAATAACTCAATTACAGACAAAAGTTATATAATACAAATACATAAACATAAAATGAAAAAGAGATTTTACTAAAAAAAACTCAACAAAACTGAAAAATTTTGTTATAAATAAAATGAAAAAACTAACGTCAACAATTAATATTGTTGTATTTGGATCTGGTGCTGTTGGAAAAACTGCATTAATTTACCGATATATTAATTCGAGTTTTATAACACAATATAATCCATCAATTGATAATTTGGAGCGTTGCACAAAAATTATTAATGATGTTATTTGTACTGTAAATATCCAAGACACTTGTGGAAGTGACCGATTTGAAACATTAAGAGAATTATATGTAACAAGTAGTGATGGAGCTTTGTTAGTTTGTAATGGCAATAGTCCGTTTACTCTAACTGAACTTCCAAATTTTTATGAATTAATAAGAGAATTTAAATCTGAAGAGGAATATGTTGTTGTGGTAGTTATAAACAAAATTGATTTAGATTTAAAAATTGACATTGAAGAAGCAAATCAATTTGCAGAGTCAATCAATGCTCCTTGCATTCAAACATCAGCAAAAACAAATAAAAATGTTGACAAAGCGTTTTCTATTTTATTACAAAGAATATTAAAAAAAAATCCTCCTAAAACTCCAAGAAAATGTTCAATATTATAATTATTTCATTTTATCATTTAATTATCAGTTTCTTCTTTTTATAAACTTTTATTTTTCTATTTTTTAAATCATTTAAAGTATGTTTCTTAATTCATTTTAAGTACAATAACTCGTTGTACTTTAAAGGTATCTCTCCTTTCATCATTAAAACATGTACCATTTAAATCATCATCTTTAATACATTCATATACATTAGATAAACTAGCACAAAAACTACTTCTAAATGAAGTTTTAAAAATTATTAACATTCCAAATGGTGAAATATCATCACCACATGAAAACAACATATCATTATCTCCTAAAATTAATTTTCCTAACCTCTCTTTTTTCATTTTCCATCGACGAGGATGTCCACTTAAATCTTCAGTATTATCAAATGCAAATAAAAAATGATTTCTTGAATTTAAAAGTAATGAATCTCCTATTTCTGTTTCAATAAAACACCCAAAGACATTCCCATATTCATCTATGCAGATAATAAATATATTACTCTCTCCATTTATTCTTTCTTTCATTTCTCCTTCATTTTCACCATCTTCTAATGTATCATATAATCTACTACATTCATACAACCCACTCCATTCTTGTAATTGTTGTAAGTTATCTTGTATAACATCTAAACATTCATCACAGAGCATTTGAATACAAATAATACGTTTTACATTAAACAATGAATCATAACAATAAGATGTTGTTTTCTTGTTAGAACTAAAGTTTATTTGTGTTTCAATAGTATTTCCTTGTTTCATTTCAATAATACAATCACCTCTTCCGATCTTTATGTCTTTTTGTTTGATTTTTTGTATTTCAAATATTTTTTCTGTTCCTTTTTGTAGATAACATTCTTGATATTCTCCAATTCCATTCTCATTTATCCCTTGTGGAAAATACCACCCAAAGACATTATTATTTTCATCAAATATAAATAGAAATATACTTGGTCTATTAAATAATTCTGTGTTTTGACACTCACTCCATTCATTTAAATCACTATCAAATAAAACATGAACCTCATTTTTATTACTCCATTCTTGTAACTTTGTAAGTGCTTGTTCAATCAAATCATTTTGAAGTTGATTAATCATAATCCTTTCTTCTTCTTTTTTACTGTCTTCGTTTTGATTAACTACAAACTCATCACATTTCTCAAACTCTTCATGAACTTCTTTTCTTTTAATACTTTGAGCATATCCTTTCATTTTGTTCAATTCTTCTTCTTTGGAAATTTCTTCTTTTTTATTTTTCATAACAAAGCAATTAAATTCCTCTTTTTGTATCATTTCATTTGCTTCATGAATAAAACTTTCACATTCTTCAATAACCTTTTTCATCTCTTCAATTCCTTTTAGTTTTTGTTCAATAATAACTTCAGTATTTTCAGGTTTCCCTTCAATTGAATTTTCTATTTCTTTATCAATTTGAGATTGTCCTTTCTTTATGGCTTCTTTTAACTCAATAAGTTGTCTTTTCACCTTATTTATCATGTCATTTTTAATTAATTTTTCCATTAATATCAGGTTAATAGAATCTGAATATTATTTTTTAGTTTTATTAGTAATTTTTTTTTGATATTTTGTAAAAATCTTCACATTAATTGTTGTATATTAATTGAAAATACAAAGTGTTCTATCTCAACCATTTCTCAACAGTGTAAAAAAAACTAACAACAAAACTTTATGTACAAACTTTACAAACAAAAATTTTTGTTTTTGTAATTTTTGTTTCTCATTAAAAAAAACAGAAGTATAACACTAAAAATTTTATAAAAAGACAATACTCTTAGTTAGTAATATTATCAGTAAACAAGCACTAACAAAATAAAGTGAATTGATATTTTTGGTATGCCATTTCTTTGTTTTTTTGATATTTCTTTCATTAAACCAAGGATTAAAGTAAATCAATTAAAAAAATTTATTATTTAATTTTTGATAATAAATTTAATCAAATTAACAAAAATGGAATTACAAGAAATATTACAAAAAATATAACTCATTCATATCAAAAGAAGCAAAAAAACAATATCATCAATGAAACATAAGTGATAGAAGAATGAATGAAACTGGGTATTAATTATATAGACAAAAATATAATACTTATATAATAACTACTATCACAATAAGAATAATCATCATAATAATTACAATAATAATAGTATGAATTAATTCATTAACTATTTCAATCGTCTTAATTATATCAATATTTCAATAATAATTCAAATAGAATCAAACCTCAATATAAATAAAAAATATAAATATTAAAAAGAAGATAAATAAGTATTTTTATTTATTTATTGTTCTTTATTCATATGAGAATAATACATCATATGTCTAAAGAATATTTATTTTTATTATTCATTTATTATTTAGTTTTTCATCATTATTGTTAAGAGGTGTGTATTTCTATTCTTCATTCTTATATTTCTATTGAATTGATGTCTTTTTAAATTTCATCAATGTAAATCATTTAAGTTACTACTTGATTTTTATTTTCATTTTAATATATATTAAAACTTCTCATTTCCTTTATTTTTTGTTTTATGAAGAGAGTGTATTTCATTACTACCACATTATTATGTTTACTTTCATTTATCATTACAATGAATATGTATGTCATTTCACTCTGATAATGCCATATATTATCAAATATATTTACATCATAACAACCAATCTTAATTTATTTAAAAACTCACAATCTTCTATTTCAACAAGTAATACTATAATAAATAATAATTCACTTCATTCTTGATGCAGTGATTAATACATTTCCTTTTCAAATGGAATGTATTAACCAGAAGATAACTGATGATGCACTGCTTCAATTTATTTTTTTTATTTGTAATGTTTTTGATGTACTGTCTTGGAATATTTAATATGACAATTTAATAATAATTGATTTGATATGTTAATAACGTGTATTAACTATTTAAAACTTCAATATTTTGAACTTATAAATATCAAATTAAATTAAAATGGATAATGTGTATATTAAACAACTAGAAGAATGGACAGAAAGAAGAATAAACAATACATTATTTGATTCAGTTAAAGATGATTGGAATAAAAATACATCAGTATTTGATCAAAGAATAATAAATAAAGAAAATATAATTATTATTGAAGACACAAATGGAAATAAATTTGGAGGATATGTTAATGAGAAAATTGATAAATATGGTTATGATTGGATAAATGATTCAAAATCATTTGTATTTTCATTAGAATCAAATGGAAGGATGGAAAGAATGATGAAATTTGATATTAAAGATCCACGATATGCATTTTATTTATTTAATCAATCAGATAATTGTTTATTTGAATTTGGATTTAGTGATATTCTTGTTTATAAAGAAAATTATAAAACATATTCATTTTGTCAACATTCATTTGAATATAATGGAATAACAAAAGCACTTTGTGGAAAACAATATCCAAAACGTTTCACACCAAAACGAATCATAGTAATTGAAATGAAATGATTCAATCTTGAATAATTGAAAATGAAATAAAAAAGAATAAAAACAAAACAATGAAGAATATGTCATTTTGTTCATCTGCCAATGAATGAAATGGTGAAATAAAAATGGACATAATTCAATGTTGATTTATTTTATTTCATTTAATGAAATACTCACACCCAATGAGGGTGTTTTTAATAAATAATAAAAGAAATAAGAATAAAATAGAAATAAAATAAAATAAATAAACAATTTATTTGTATTATTTCATTGAATTAATTCATTATGAATAAAATGAATAAGATAATAGAAATAATAAGAAACAAATAAAGAAATAATAAAATACATCAACATATTTATGTTATTATTTCTTATTTCTTTATTTGAAGATTTTTTTCCAATGCAGGAAATACATCAAATTTTAATGCAATGGATATTGTGTAAAACATTTCGGTCTTACAAAAGTAAATCAAACAAAACACAGAAAATCAATATCATACAATATAAAAAAATGAATGTAAATAGTAATAAATTTCATAATGATAATAAAAGTAAATGATATACCAAGGAAAAATGGATTAGAAGATGAACAATACAAAGAAAAACAAATAAAAAACAAAATAAATACAATAATAATAAAGATAATACAATAACAATGAATGAATAATAATAAATGAGATACAAAGAAGAATAAAAAGAATAACAAGTGAATGGAATGAAGGAAAGTATGAAGAAATACTCAAAAAGTAAGAAGATAAAAGAAAAAGATGGTATGATAATCAACAAGAAGTATATTCAATCAGAAAGAATAAGATAAATAAAAGAATAAAGAAGAAATTAAAGAAAAAGACAAAAGATATTGAAGAAAAAACATTAAAATAAATGAAGAAGAAATTAAAAACAAAAATCCAATCAAAGAAATGAAAGAAATATGTAAAATTTCAAAAAATAATAAATAACAAACAAGAGATGATAATCAGACAAGAAATACAACAAAAGAAAGAAATAGAATTTTAATTGAAGTGTTGTATTGTTTTGGAATTAATTGGTTAAATAAGAAATTATATAAGAAAATAAGATGGGAACAAATAGAAAATATAATAAAAGTGATAAACATCAATGTCAATAATGAAAAAGAATATATTAAATATATTAAAATATCACATAAAATAAAAGAAAATACTAAACAATACATTAAATTGAAAGTAAATGATATAATAGAAAGAAGAGTAGAGTGTAATTCAATAATAAAAAACATCATATTAAAGAATAACTCTACAGAAATTGATGAAGAATACCTTAACACTCTCATCAATAAAATAAAAGAAATGAAAATAGAAAAATGTTCAAACATTAATTACTACTGGAAAAGAAAAGAAGCTGACGATTAATAATGGAAATTAATAATAGATGGATAATGTCAGGAATTAGAATGCATGAACTGCAAGTTGGTATGAATATTTCAATGAGTATGCACTTTTATCTCCAAAATAAAATAATAAGAGATAAAAATGATGAAATAAAAGAAATCCTAAATAAAATCAATAGACTAGAAGATTTAGTCAATGAAATTGTACAGAATAAAATGCATCATGAAATTAAAAGAATATGAAGAAGAAGGAATAAAAGTTAAAGCACTAGAAAGAATAAAAAACATTTTCTTTTTCCATAAAAAAGTAAAGAAGTACAATAAAATATTTTTGTTATTAAAAACCTAAAAAAACTAAAAAACAATAAATTATTGAAGAAGATGAGTGTTACCATGCCACCTGAACATATCAGGAAAATTGTAAAAGAGCATGGGGATATGTCAAGTAGAAAATTTAGTAAAGATAAAAGAGTGTATTTGGGTGCACTTAAATTTTTACCTCATGCTGTGTATAAATTATTAGAGAATATACCAATGCCATGGGAAGAAATTAAAATGGTTGATGTTATGTATCATATCACTGGAGCAATTACCTTTGTAACTGAAATACCTAAAGTTATCGAACCAATTTATTTTGCACAATGGGGAACTATGTGGATTGCGATGAGAAATGAAAAGGCAAACCGAAAGAATTTTAGAAGAATGATATTACCATCATTTGATGATGAAGAGCCACCATTGGACTATGGAGATAACATTCTTGATGTAGACCCAATACCAAGTATTCGACTAGAATTAGATGGAATAGAAGATAAATCAGTTATGGAATGGTTTTATGATTCAAAACCATTAGTTCATAGCCATAATGTAAATGGGACAAGTTATAAACGTTGGAAATTAAATATTGAACAATTAAGTACATTACACAGATTGTCAGAACGATTACTTGGTGATATTACAGATATGAATTATTATTATTTATTTAACAAAGAATCTTTTTTTAATGCAAAGGCATTAAATTGTACATTAATTGGAGGACCAAAATTTGAACCATTATTTAGAGATACTAATGATGATGAAGACTGGAGTGAATTCGATGATATTAATAAACTTATTATCAGAAGAATTATTCGTACCGAATATAAAGTGGCTTATCCTAATTTATATGCTAATCGTCCAAGAGAAGTTCATATTATTCCTTATCATTATCCAATGCAAATGATTGTTAAACCAGATGACCCAACATTACCCTCTTATTATTTTGATTCATTACTTAATCCAATCGAGTGGAAAAATGATTGGTATGAAACTCAAGAAATGGAAGAAGATGATGATGAAACAATTGAATTTTATGATGATGTTGTTGCATTTGGTAATACAATTGAACTTGACAATGAAAAAATAAAAGATGGTTTAAATTTAATTAATGCACAATATCCATTTAATAATAAATATGGAGTAACTAGAAGAGCACAAGATGTTCCATTGATTAAAGGATGGTATTTAGAACATATTCAAAAGAATTATCCTGTTAAAGTAAGAGTAAGTTATCAAAAATTATTAAAATGTTATGTTATTAATGAATTACAAAAGAAACCACCAAAATCTCTCTGTAAAAGAAATTTCTTTGCAGCGTTGGATGAGACACATTTCTTTTATCACACGAAATTAGATTGGGTTGAGGCAGGATTACAAGTAATTAGACAAGGATATAATATTCTTAATCTTCTTATTCATAGAAAGAATGTAGATTTTCTTCATTTAGATTATAATTTTAATATTAAACCTGTAAGAACATTAACAACAAAAGAAAGAAAAAAATCACGATTCGGTAATTCATTTCATTTAATAAGAGAAATATTAAAAATGACTAAAATTGTTGTTGATGCTCATTGCCAATACAGACTTGGAAGAGTTGATTCATATACTCTTGCTGATGGAATTCAATATATATTTAGTCATATTGGAACACTTACAGGAATGTATCGTTATAAATATAAAGTTATTCAACAAATAAGAATGTGTAAAGATTTAAAACATATTATTTATTATCGATTTAATACAAACTCTATTGAAAAAGGACCTGGAATAGGATTTTGGGCACCAATGTGGAGAGTATGGATCTTTTTATTAAGAGGGTTAATTCCAATTTTAGAACGATGGTTAGGAAATCTTCTTGCTCGACAATTTGAAGGTAGAAAAGCTAAAGCAATAGCCAAAACTATTACTAAACAAAGGGTTGAAAGTGGATTTGATATTGAATTAAGAGCTGCTGTATTACATGAAATTAATGAAATTATGCCTGAAGGAATTAAAAGTAATAAAGCTAAAACAATTATGCAACATCTTAGTGAAGCATGGAGATGTTGGAAAGCAAATATTCCATGGAAAGTTCCTGGATTACCAGAACCAATTGAAGCTATGATTCTACGATATGTAAAAAAGAAAGCCGATTGGTGGACAGATGTTGCACATTATACTAGAGAAAGGACTAAAAGAGGATGTACTGCAGATAAGACAGTTAGTAAAAAAAATCTTGGAAGATTAACAAGGTTATGGTTAAAAGGAGAACAAGAAAGGCAATTTAATTATTTAAAAGATGGACCTTATTTAACAAGTGAAGAAGGAGTAGCTATATTAACAACTACAGTTCAATGGCTTGAAAATCAACAATTTCAACCAATTCCATTTCCACCAAGTAATTATAAATATGATACTAAATTACTTGTTTTAGCATTAGAAAATTTAAAAGAATCATTTAGTACTAAAACAAGAATTAATCAAAGTCAAAGAGAAGAATTAGGATTAATTGAACAAGCATTTGATAATCCACATGAATTTTTACTTAGAATTAAAAGACAATTATTAACTCAAAGAACATTTAAAGAAGTTAAAATTGAATTTGTTGATATGTACACCCATTTAATTCCAAATTATGATTTTGATCCAATGGAAAAAATTGCAGATGCATATCTTGATCAATATTTATGGTATGAAGGAGATAAAAGACATTTATTCCCTAATTGGATAAAACCATCAGATACTGAACCAGCACCATTATTAGTATATAAGTTTTGTAATGGAATGAATAATTTAACAAATATATGGAATGTTGAAAATGGAGAATGTAATGTTATTGTAGAATCAAATTATGATAAAATGTTTAAGAAAGTTGATTTAACATTATTAAATAGATTATTAAGATTAATTATGGATCCTTTATTAGCAGATTATATTACTGCAAAAAATAACATAACTTTGGCTTACAAAGATATGATGCATGTAAATTCTTATGGGTTAATAGAAGGATTAGCATTTAGTAGTTTTGTTATTCAATATTATGGATTAATCTTAGATATTTTATTACTTGGACCAAGAAGAGCATTCGAAATTGCAGGTACTGCAAATCAGCCAAATGATTATTTAACATTTAAAACAAAAGAAATTGAAGAACATCATCCAATTAGAATGTACACAAGATATATTGATAAATTTTATATGGTATTAAGATTTACTGAAGAAGAAAGTAAAGAATTAATAGAAAAATTATTAATAGAACATCCAGATCCAAATAATGAAAATTCAATAAATTATAATAATAAAAAGTGTTGGCCAAAAGATTGTAGAATGAGATTAATGAGACATGATGTAAATTTAGGACGTGCCGTATTTTGGGAGTTAAAGAATAGATTGCCACGTTCATTAACTACTCTTAATTGGGAAGATTCATGTGTTACAGTTTATTCAAAAGATAATCCAAATGTTTTATTTACTATGTGTGGATTTGAAATTCGTATTCTTCCAAAATGTAGAAGTCAAGAAGAAGAGTTTAGCATTAAAGAAGATGCATGGGCACTTACTAATAATGAAACAATGGAAAAAACAGCAAATGCATATTTAAAAGTAAGTAAAGAAGAAATTATGAAATTTGATAATAGAATTAGACAAATTTTAATGTCATCAAGTGCTACTACATTTACAAGAGTAGTAAATAAATGGAATACTGCGTTGATTGGATTAATGATGTATTTTAGAGAAGCTACTATTCATACACAAGAATTACTTGATGTTTTAGTTAAATGTGAAAATAAAATACAAACAAGAATTAAAATAGGATTAAATTCAAAAATGCCTAATAGATTTCCACCAGTTGTATTTTATACTCCAAAAGAACTTGGTGGACTTGGAATGCTTTCTATGGGACATGTTTTAATTCCACAATCAGACTTTAAATGGAGTAGACAAACTGATGTTGGTATTCAAGCATTTAGAGCTGGAATGAGTCATGATGAAGACCAATTAATTCCTAATTTATTTAGATATATTCTTCCATGGGAAACAGAATTTAAAGATTCTCAAAGAGTATGGATGGAATATGCACAAAAAAGAAAAGAAGCTATTGAAGAAAATAGAAGACTAACATTAGAAGATTTAGAGGATTCTTGGGATAAAGGAATTCCCAGAATTAATACATTGTTTCAACAAGATAAACATACATTAGCATATGATAAAGGATGGCGTATTAGAACAGAGTTTAAACGATACCAAATTCAAAAATTAAATCCATTTTGGTGGACACATCAAAGACATGATGGAAAATTGTGGAATCTTAATAATTATAGAAGTGATATGATTCAGGCTTTAGGAGGAGTAGAAGGAATTTTAGAACACACACTATTTAGAGCTACATTCTTTCCTACATGGGAAGGATTATTTTGGGAGAAATCAAGTGGGTTTGAAGAATCAATGAAATATAAAAAATTAACTAATGCACAAAGAAGTGGATTAAATCAAATTCCAAATAGAAGATTTACATTATGGTGGTCACCAACAATAAATAGAGGAAGTGTATATGTTGGATTTGAAACGCAGTTAGATTTAACAGGAATATTTATGCAAGGAAAAATCCCAACATTAAAAATTAGTTTAATTCAAATATTTAGAGCACATTTATGGCAAAAAATACATGAAAGTATTGTTATGGATTTATGTCAAGTATTTGATCAAGAAAGTAATGAATTAGATGTTGATAGAGTTCAAAAAGAAACAATTCATCCAAGAAAGTCATATAAAATGAATTCTTCTTGTGCAGATATTACATTATTTGGAATGAATGAATGGGAAACTGGAAAACCTTCAATGCTAACTGATAATAAAAATATCTTAAATGGAATTCATACAAATAAATATTGGATTGATGTACAATTACGTTGGGGTGATTTTGATCAACATAATATTGAAAGTTATGCAAGACAAAAATATGAAAGTTATATAAATGATAATAATTGTTTATATCCTTCTCAAACTGGTGTTATTATTGCTTTTGATTTAGCTTATAATACATATTCTGCATATGGAAATTGGATTCCTGGAATGAAAGATTTATTACAAAAAGCATTAGCTAAAATACTTAAATGTAATATTGCATTATTTGTATTAAGAGAACGTATTAGAAAGGCACTTCAATTATATTCTAGTGAACCAACTAATCCATCATTATCTATAACAAATTATGGTGAATTATTTACAAATCAAATTATTTGGTTTGTTGATCATAGTAATATCTATCGAGTTACAACTCATAAAACATTTGAAGGAAATCACATTACTAAACCATTAAATGGATGTATCTTTATATTTAATCCAAGAACTGGAGGTGTTCATTTAAAAATTATTCATTCATCAGAATGGGAAGGACAAAAACGTATTGGTCAATTAAAACATTGGAAATCTGCAGAGGAGGTTGTTAAATTAGTACGAGCATTACCAATTGAAGAACAACCTAAACAAATTATTGTATCATTAAGAGGAATGTTAGACCCATTAGAAACTCATATGATTGATTTTCCAAATATTTTATTAAAAGGAAGTGAAATAGCATTACCATTTGGTGAAATTATGCAAATGGAAAAAGTTAAAGATGCTGTTAACAAAGCTACTGAATCAATGTTATTAATGTTTAATATGTATGATGATTGGTTAGAAACTGTTAGTTCATATACTGCATTTCATAGAGCTGTATTATTATTAAGAGGACTTGGAATAAATCCTGTTAAAGCTAAAAAAATTCTTCTTCCAAATCCAACTATTTCAATTAAACCACAACACCAATGGCCAACATATAGTGATGATGAATGGAAAGAAATTGAAATTAAAATAAAAGATTTAATTATTGGAGAATATGCCAAAAAGAATAATATCAGTGCAAGTAGTTTAACTCAAAATGAAGTTAGAGATATTATTCTTGGAATGCATATTCAAACACCTTCTGCTGAAAGACAACAAGTTTTAGAAATTGAAGGAGAAAAGAATATTCAACAAGGAATTACTGTAACAACAAAAACACAAAATAAATTACAAGAAACTATGACTGTAACAACAAGTACTCCTTATGAACAAAAAGTATTTGCTGCAACTCAAAATTGGAGACAAAGAGCTATTGAAGCAAGTAAATTACTTGATAAAATGAATAATTTATTTGTTGAAAATGAAGGAGAAGGAAATCCTATTGTTATTCCTAAAAATATTATTAAAGGAATTATTCAAATTGCAGACACCAAAATTGAAATTGGTGGAATTTTATTTGGTCAAGAAAGTACAAAAAATAAAGGAATTATGGAAGTTCAATGTTGTGTTTTAGTTCCTCAATATGCCACAAATAAATATATTGTATTTGCTCAACATTGCCCACAACATGAGGAACTTCATAATATGAAAGCAATTGGATGGATTCATACTTGTTCTGGTGAACCTAAGTTAACAGTATATGATGCTGTAATGAATTCATTAATACAAGAACATTATAATATTGATGGACAATGTATTTGTATTGGTATTGGAGAAGGTGCAATTGGAATTGAAGGATATTCATTTAATGAAATTGGAAGAGAGTTTGGTAAACAAAATAGTGATAGTCTAATTACATTACAAAATAATTGTACTGAAGAATTAGGAGTAAAACAACCACTTATTGTTTCAGAAAAAATTAATGGATTCTTTTTAATTCCAGAAAAAGGAAGTTGGAATTATTCATTATCTACTTCTAAATTTACTGTTAATATTGAATATACTCTTAAAGCTGGTATTCCATTAGAATTTTATAATGAAGCTCATAGAATTACACACTTCCTTTGTTGGGTACAAAGTGATGAAGAAAACAATGATGTTGATATGACTGAATATTCATTATTTTAAATTTCTTAATTGATTTTATTTGTTAAAAGAAAATTAATCATTTGCATTTTTAATTAATTCAAAAATAATTCAAAATTATTTAAAGTAATAATGAGTCTAATACTTGTTGTTTTGTTCCTTCTTCAATTGTTTTATATAAGTCGGTTGACAAATATCGTTCACCACAATCTGGTAAGATTATAACGATCGTTTTTCCTTCATTTTCTACTTTTCCTGCTTCTTTTAATCCTGCTAAAATTGCTGCACCACTTGACATTCCACACATAATTCCATCATATTTAACTACTGCTCTTGCCATTTTCCATGCGTCTTGTGTTTTAATTGGTGTTATTTCATCAACAACTTCTTTCTTATAAATATCTGTAACAAATCCTGCTCCAATTCCTTGAATTCCATGTGGTCCTTTTGGTTTTCCTGATAAAACTGCTGATTCTGCTGGCTCTACAGCAACAACCTTAACTCCCTTTTTCTTTTTCTTCAAATTCTCACCAACTCCTATAACAGTTCCTGCAGTACCAACAGCAGAAACAATAATATCAACTTCTCCGTTTGTATCTTCCCAAATTTCATTTGCTGTATAAACATGGGCTGCAGTATTATCTGGATTACCAAATTGATTAGCTGGAAAATATTTATTTGGGTGTTGTTTGATAAGTTCTTCATATTTTGCAATAGCTCCTGGCATTCCTTTTGTTCCATCTGAAAGAACTAAATTAGCTCCAAATGCTTTCATAATCATTTGTCTTTCAACTGACATTGTTGACGGCATGACAATATTCACTGGATATCCAAAAACAGCACCAGCTTGACATAATCCAATTCCTGTATTTCCAGAAGTAGCTTCAATAATTTCCATTCCTGGTTTTAATCTTCCATCTTTAATAGCTTGATAAATAATATTAAATCCAACACGGTCTTTAACTGATGACATTGGATTGAAACATTCTAACTTAACAAGAATTTTTGTATTTTTTTTAATAGAAGGATGGTCTGTTACTCCATGTAATTCAACTAAAGGAGTACCTCCAATAGTTTCAAGGATATTGTGATAAATTCTCTTTCTTGGTGTGTTGATAGTAATATTTTGCATTATTATTTACAAACAAATAGTTTGTGATCGACTTTAAAAACACAGATTATTTCTAAGTGACGTTGACAAAACGTTTTGATGATTTGTATCTTTCTTTTTTCGGTTGACAAGTCAATTCAAAAAGAATATAATTTTAAATAAATTAATATTAATAATGACTTATTTTGGAGTGTGGAGTTATTATTTCTCAGTTATTCTTGGTGTTTTTGAATGGAATTTCTTTTGAAGTTTTCATCTTACAGTTATTGAACATATACTTTTTCTTCTATCAAATTTTTGAGTCTTAAGATTTTATGTTCTGACGACTCTGGAAATTTTTTGTAAATTCTTTTATAAATTTACCAACTCCAATAGCATATCCAACCCTAACTATCCTCAAGAAGTTTGAAGCAAATAACTTTGTTTTATTTTTCTTAAAAGTGAAAGTATTGGTGTTAAATAACCTTTAAAATGATATGTCAGTGCTTATAAAATTAAAGAATTATTCATTCCAAAAGTAGTTTAAAAACTACAATAGAAGAAAGAAAAGAAGGTTCTTTAATTAATTTATTTTTATGTTTTTTATAGACTGTTTTATTTAATAACTTAATTTAAATCTAATAATTCTTTAAAAAAATATATAACTGTAGCTTGGAAGTGTCTTATATTCAGTGTTAATAATAATTTAGTTATTATAAAGGAAATAAATTGTAGTTTTCTTCTTTTTATTATTATACTTTTATATTATTTTTATTTTATTCTTATAGTCTTTCTTCATTTATAAAACCACATAGAAATGAATATAAAAAGTTTATTCACTTCTCATTCTTCTTCTTTTACTCTCTTTATATTTTGTTTATTTTTGTGTATTATAAATTAATTATTAGTCAATTAAAATTTCATTTAATATATGTCAAATTCATTAAGATGAATATTATTTATTAAGAATTTTAACATAATGACAAATTATTAAATGTCTATACAAAATGGTAATATAAAAAGTCGAACAATATACATCTTAACAATTTGATATTGTGGATATTTAGAAGTATTTCTTTATATTTCTTCAATATGATCTATTGGTGTAATAGATTTAATTTCCAATATGTTCGTATTAGATTATTCTTATTCTATTATATTGCTGGAATTGAAAATATAAACCGTTAAGTCTTTCATATTTTTGATTATTATTGTTTGTCATGTGTTATTGAGAAAAATTATTTGTAATTTTATTTTCTTGTAAATTTTTGTACTTATTTATTTTATGAATATAATTTAACTCTAAATTCATATCTTGACATATAGCAACATCTATAATATATCATTTCTTTTCTTTCATATTCTGATAATATGCGTCTTGTCTTCTATCATGGAATGAATTATCAATAACAAATAAATCTTTATTGTAAGTTATAACCATTTCATCATTATTAATACATTTTGGAAGATTATTAAAATCAATAGCATCAAATTCATTAAAATATGTAATTAATAAGTGTTTATATATTTGTTTACATATATAATCATGTTTTAATATTTGGTTCTTTTTGTGTGTTATTATGGTGTTTATTTCTATTATGATAATATTGTTTATTTCTATTGAAAATATTATTAAAGTGTTTATGACGATGATTATGATTGAAGTGATGAGTGAAATGATTCATATCATCAGTACTGTGATAGTTATGGTAATAATTATTATAATTGTTATCAGATGACTGATGTATCTCATTCTAGGAAGATAATACATATTTTCACTCATTCTTCTATTATTTATATTTCTTGACTATTATGTAGTTCTTCTTTTATCAATGTTTTTCTTATATATTATTGTAGTGTTTCTTGTAATACTTCTTTTTTAAATAAATGAATGTAAATGAATTGAATAAACATAAATAAAGAATATAAAGAATATGATGGTAATAAAAAAATATATATAGTCATATTCAAATATTATATCAAATAAATATGAATTGAATAATGAGTTATATAATAAATTGTATATACAAAAAATATCTAAATATAAAGATTAAATAAAAATACTCTTGTTTATTTATTAAATACTTCATTATTTTATTTTTTCTCTTTTACTTTACAAACAATTTTCATACAAATTATATTTTTTTATTTTCAATATACCAATAAGAAGAATAAAACTTTATAAGTATATTTTTAGTGTATGTTTCATGAATAACATATTTTTAATAATAACTGTATCAACGCAATTTCATTAATAAAATATACCTTATATTATTTCAATAAAAGTTTCAACTCAATAATTATTGATTTAGTTTCAAAGAAGGAAAAATCAAATTATTTATGATATATAAACCAATAGAATTAAAAAAAAAAAGAATAATAATTTGTATTTATGAAATAAGAAAAAAAAAGTTGAATTGAAAAAAAAAAGGAAAAAAAGATAAAGTAATGAATGATAATAAACAAGAAATACCACTTGATTTAGAATCAATAATTATTTCACCATCTCAATGTTATTTATATGGTATTGATGGGAATGTACAAGAAATATCTAATGAGAATAGCATTAAAGAAATATGTTTTTATTCTTATTTTCCATGTTTTATTCAACCCATTTGTAGAATAGATAACTTAAAACGATATTTATATTTTTTTATTTCAGTAACATTTATAATAACAGCAATTGAAACAATATGGTTTTTTATTAGTGTATTGTTTGAATATGAAAAAAATTCTTCTATATTAATTCCAACAGCTAATTCAATTAAAATTGTTGGTGGAAAAAATTTATCATTAATTAAATGTGAGTATCAATACTTTAGATTAGTACTTCCAATTTTTTTACAAAACAATATTCTTCAATTAATTGTTACAATTATTATTCAATTAAAATTTGGAATTATTGTAGAAAGAATATTAGGAAGTTCATGGTATTTTATTATGTATATAGTTTGTGGAACAATGTCATTATTTGGAAGTTATTTATTTGCTTATGAATTACCATTTATTGGTTGTTCATCTTCTTTAATAGGAATAATGACAATTTGGGTTTTACAAATGATTATTCAAAAAGAGAAATACCATCCAATTGTTTGGGTCCAACTCTTTGTCTCAGCTATTTTTAGTATATTCGTAATTATCGGCAGTTGTTTATTTACACCAATTGATAACGGAATTTCATTTATATTTTCTTTTGGAACAGGAATATTATTTGGACTAACATATTTCGGTGATAATTTTAAATCTTGCTTAACAAACTTGTTCTTTAAATGGGCAAATAGGATTCTTCCTATTTTATTGTACTTCTCATTACTTACACTTACTATTTTGGCTATTCGTTTTGTTTTACCAGTATCTTGTCATTCTACTAAAACAGTTTCTTAATTTATTCTTTTCATTGTTGAAATTATCATTCTTTATAAATTCTTATCATTATTTCTTGAAAGAATCTCACAGTATTGATAATAGTTTTATTGTTAATTTTGGAACTATTGCTCTACAAAAAAAAAAAACAAAAAGTATTGGAGACTAATATGTCGAACTGAGAATTGATATTTTTGAGTTATGGGAGATAATAAAGAAGATATTATTAAACTAAATGATAGAAAAGATACCCAAATAAAAGAACAACCATTAAATACAGAAGTGTCAAAATTAGACCCATTAGAAGTTAATGAGATAGAAAGAAAAGAAAAGAAAATAAATGAGATTGAATCTGATGAGTATGAAAAACAGTTAAAAGAAGAAGAAGAGTTTAGAAAGAAAAGAAAATGTGACACTGTCCTAAGTGAAGCAGTAAACAGTACTGAATATAATCAACCAGAATATATTGAAGTTACTGTAAGTTCTCCAGAATTAGTTGTAGACTCAACAGGAAAATATACAGTCTATACTGTGACAACAAGAGTTTGTTATTTATAAACATAAGTTATTAAAGAAAAAAAAAACAATATCTAAACCAATAGTCTTCTCATCAAGAATATGCACCAGGAAATTATTCAGTAAAAAGAAGGTATTCTCAATTTCAGTCATTAAGAAGTCAATTAAAAACAATACAAAAACAATCACCACAAGCAAACGATTGGGGAAAAATACCAAAATTACCAGGAGATACTTTTAAATCATATTATATACCTGGTTATAGATTTAAACCAGAATTTACTGAACAACGAGCAAAAGATTTAACAAGGTTTATTAATAATTTGCTTAAACATCCATCATATTTATTCAATGAAGTTACAATTAATTTTTTAACAAAACCTGACTTTGAAATAATAAAACCAAAAACTCAAATAGTATGGGGAAATGGTGATGAAAGTTCATCATCATCAGAATAATAATCATTAATTATACAATATTATTATAATACTTTTATTGAATTATAAAACAAAATGGTTAAATAAAAAAAGAAAATAAGAAAAAAAAAAGGAATAAAAGGAAAAGTTAATTTTAATGAAGTAATGATAAAATAACAATAAAATTAATAAAAATTAATTAATTTCTAATTGTTTTAATTCTTGTTTAAGAAGTTCAACAGTTTCTTTCCAATAATCTAATTCTCTTTGAAGAACAAGATTTTTTAAAGACTGAGGGGAAATAGATTCTAAACGTTTTAAACCTTCTCTTAACCAATTTTTTTTATTAAATTTAATTTGGTCATTAATAGAATTAAATTTAGGTTTAGTTGATTCTTTTTCCAGTAAAGATTGATGGGTAATAGACTCATACTCAATTTGATTTAATGTTGAAGCAGAATCCGATTCATTGTCAATAGGAACAGAAGGAATAATAATAGAAATATCATTAATGAAAGAATATGCACATTTATAAACGAAATTAATAATTGTTTTCATTAAATCATCAATAGTCGATTGTTCATTTAAAGAATTTAAAAATGCATTTCTTTTAATTTGAGGAACAATAAATGAGAATTCTTCTTGTTTTAAAAGAAGTGTTGGGTCACATAATTTATTTGCATATTCAATAATATGAGAAGGTTGAATATTAATTGGCCAATTAGAAGAAGGTAATAAATATTTTTTTAAAGCAAGTTGAATAGAAGAAATATAATGTAATTTATTATTAATAATATTACTCATTAATGGGTATTTTTTTTCATTAATAAACCATGGTTCAATTTCAAATAATTGTATTGTTGATTCATCAGTAATAAAAAAGATTATTGTTTCTATAAAAGCATTATATGAAGAAATATAACTTGATGGATCATTTGGTATTGAGTCAGAATATAATGTTGGTAATTGTGGTTTTAATGAATAAAGAAATTTTGATAAAGAAGAAGAAGTAATTAATGGAAAGGGTTTTATTGTTGTTAAAGCCCAATAAAAAGCATAATTAAAAGAAGAAAGTACTTCAGTGAATGTTTTAATTTTAACAATACCTGTATGTTTAGGAAGAACAGGTGAAAGAGTAATTTTATGAGGAATAATAATAATTGGATAATTAAGATAAAATGGAATATTATTAATTTTTTTTATTAATGAATTTAAACATGGAGGTTGTTCTTCTAATGTTGGATAAAATATCATTGATGAACCACAAAAATTATATTGATTAATATTATTTGATGCTATTAAAATAACACTTATTACACACGCAAATGGATCATTAATAAATTCTTTTAATGCAATTTGTTCTGTTTGTTTTAAATAATTTAATGGTAATTTATATGAAGAAATAATTGATTTCATTAATGTTTGAAGAAGATCATAATATAATGAAGAGTCTTTTGGATTTGAATCATAAACAATAATTATATTAAGTTTTAATGGAAATGACTTATTATTATTATGTTGTTCTAATTTCCTTAAATTATTAAGAATAACAGAATTAATTTTCATTTCCATTTTATATAAATTTTGTTTTTTTTTAGTTTTTTGTAGTAATTTTTTATTTTTTTTATTTTTTTGTTATTAAATTAAATAGTATAAGATTTATTTATATTTCTAATTCTTTATTTTATTTTATTGACATCCTTTTCCAATACAAGAAATACATCAAATTTTAATACAATGGATATTGTGTAATAATAAATATGTGTTGTAAAGAAAAACAACCAAGTCATAAAAATTCAATATCATATAAAAGAATGAATGTCAATAACAATAAATGGTATAACAATAACAATAATAATGATAAATGAAATAACCAAAGGAAAATGGATTAGAAGACGAAAGATGCAAAGAAAAACAAATAAAAAACAAAATAAATACAATAATAATAAAGATAATACAAATAACAATGAATGATTAATAATAAATGAGATACAAAGAAGAATAAAAAGAATAACAAGTGAATGGAATGAAGGAAAGTATGAAGAAATACTCAAAAAGTAAGAAGGTAAAAGACAAAGATGGTATGATAATCAACAAGAAGTATATTCAATCAGAAAGAATAAGATAAATGAAAGAATAAAGAAGAAATTAAAGAAAAAAAAGGTTAACTAATAGATATATCCACAATTTGATTTTTATGAATATTGAGAAGTGTTTATTTCAGTTTCTTCATTATGCCATATTTCTATAATAGAGTTTATTTCTAATACACTCGTATTAGATTGTTTTTCTTCTAATGTACTGACAGAACTGAATGTGTAAAACATTAAGTCTTTCATGTTTTTGATTATTATTGTTCGTAGGATTTTAGAAAAGTATAATTGTAATTTTAGTGTTTTTAATCTTCTTATAGACTCTTTTTGTATTAATCCATTTATTGATGATATTACAGGTATTATTTCTACATATATTATTTCTCTATTATTTCTTAATTTCTCTTGTATTTCTTTGTATTTATTTATTTTATGAATATAATTTAATTCTAAATTATTATCTTGACATATAACAACATCTATAATATATCATTTCTTCTCTTTCATATTCTGATAATATGCGTCTTGTCTTCTATCATGGAATGAATTATCAATAACAAATAAATCTTTATTGTAAGTAATGACCATTTTATCATTATTAATACATTTTGGAGGATTATTAAAGTCAATTGCATCAAATTCATTAAAATATGTAATTAATATCTGTTTATATATTTGTTTACATAATCATGTTTTAATATTTGATTCTTTTCCATTACATCCTAACAGGATGTGACTAATA